AGCTAACTCACTTTAATTTTCTGTGTAGCCCTCTATTCTTCAGGTTTCTTTGGTTTCTTCAAATACCACATACGTTCCTTAGCTAGTCTTTGTAGTAGGTGTTTACATTACTTCAAATGTCACATATTTCCAAGATTATCTCTTCATGAACAGTCACTTTAGACTCTAAAAGGAAAGGTCTTTGTGTATCACTCACTGAACTGTTATAAACGCATTTATCAAGTGCTCCCGAATTCTTTTTAAACTTTATTTTTGTACTTCTTTCATTGACACAGTATCTACCTCTAGAATTGGCCTATTGGAGATGTTATGTATGATTGACATTTCAAAATTGTTTAACCTAAAATTATTCATTATTGGAGACCTATAATCATTACTCAAACACAACATATGTGTTATAGGAACAAATAACCTAAGAGAGACCCTAGAATCCCATGACATCGTTAAACATGACTCTGGACTTCCTTGCTATGATCATGGTATAGGTAAAACACCTTGGCATCATTAACTTGAAATTTTCTGGTAACATGTGATCCTTTAAGTTTTAGATTATCTCAATAATTATTCCAATAACTTCCTTTCGTTCATATATACAGTCCCCATCCTAGGGTTAAGTATAAAACCTTTGAAGTACACATGAACAGCAAATTTCAAAATTGGATCTCAAACAAGAGGTGCTCTTATCACGTACTTTTTTATTCAGAACTTTTTGAATTGATATTTTTGTAACTCACTGTAGTAATAACTACATCTGTAATTCATAAGGTAAAATGTATGAGAGAAAGTTCATTCTGATTAATAACTGGGAAATTGTTATTCTTGTGTTATACTAAAAAAAGGAGTAGGTGGGGAGCTGGAGCAATTCTTCTGAGGATAAGCGCACTGGCTGCTCTTCCAGAGGTCCTGAGTTCAATTCCCAGCAACCACATGATGGCTCATAAGCATCTGTAATAAGACCTGGTGTCCTCATCCAGACTGTGACATACAGGCAAAAAGAGAGGAGGAGGAAGGAGAGAGAGAAGGGAAGAAAGGGAGGAAGAGAGGGAGAGAAGGGGAGGGACAGAGGGAGGGAGAAGAGAAGGTGTATATGAATTGGCTATTATAAATTATAGACAATTTGTTCTCTAACGTATTATGATTCAGAGGCCATATATAATGAATTAGATTTCCTACTTCTACTTGTCCATTGATATTTTTATTTCTTCTATACTTATGATCTTAATTGATTGGTAAAAACAAAATCCATGAAATATATAGATGGAGAAATGGTGGGCATTCCCTTATATCTTCAATCTTGTTTTTCATAATCATGAAATCATCTTGAGGAGTATATACAGGACTAAAAGTATATCAATTCAAGGGAGGATAAGGAGGAGCCCCAACAGGTCCTGAAGGGCCAGTTGAATACTCATTGTCAGGTGTTCCTATAACTCTGCTAATTATGCTCTCAGGAGCCTAACTTAATGAATACAGGGAAATCATTCTATGGTTTGCAGAAAACTAAAGTAATAGTTATAGTTAAAGGAATATTTTTATTATCTTTTATTCTAAAATATACTGAATATGATCATGCAAATAATTTATTTTTTCTTTTAAAATGTAATGAATTCAGAGTCTGGAATAGATGATGCAGAAGTCATTACAGTGCTCAGTACATATACATGAATGTCTGAACATGGATTTCTTGTAGTCACATAAAACGATGGGCATGGCAGCTAGAGACTTTGATCATGGTAGTGGGGAGGTGGGGCATGAGGATCACTGGAGCACATGGGACACCCTGTCTCATGATATAGTGACTCCAGGATTAGTTAGAGACCCTTTCTCAAACAAAAATGAATCTGTATTTGAATAAATTTTATATAAGCATCTGGCTTATATATGTACACATACCAACACATGATTATATAGATTAATGTACACACACACACACACACAAATGTAAATGCAGAAAGTCTTGATGACATTCAATAGCTATTTAAAGATAAAATTAGGCATATTGTCTCATTTTAATAGTTATTTTAAAACTTAAAATGTGTTAAATAGAATGCATTATGAAATTTATCACAACTCAATGACACTCACAAGACTGTACCAATGGGGTTGCAAAATATTAAGCCATCCATTTCATCTTTTTTACAACTTTATTTAGAGAAATATTTTGTAAACATTGTGTTTCTATCATAAAGGTTTATATCCATATTTCGGGATATAATTTTTATGATGCTTTTGTATATTGTACAGGAGTCTTCTTTATGGAAGACAAATAATAGCTTGTCCCTGCTTGCTCACAAAAGAACATCTTCAGAAAATTGAAATCATATTTAGAAAATTCTGTTGATGTAACATCTTTTGTCTCTTTAGGAATAAGTTTTATATGGTAGCTACTCTCATAACTTTGAAGCGCACTCTTTCACCATAAACATTACAGATGTCAAGTAGAATATGAATAAAATTAGTATGTAGGGATATTTATCTTTTAATATCAAATCACAAAGGGAAGATACTTTATTGTTACCTCAAGTAATCAAGTTATTTAAGATTATTTGATGAGTTAAGTTTCAAAAATTTTAGACAGTGGAAAAATAAAGGATACTACTGTTTGAATGAGGTTCATTTTACCTCTATTTTTGAGTACCTTGTTAATTTACAGGAACTATGTTGAAGTATTTGTTTGCTTATCAGAATCAGAATGGCCATGTGTCTTAATTTCTCATAGAGCTTAACTGATTTTCCACATATCATATATACATATATATAATCTATCAAAATATTTATCATAACTTATTGCCTGTGCATAGCCAATTAAAATGTCTATTATAAGTAACTATAAATATATTTTTACATATATATTTTTCTCATTATGTCATACATTACAAGAATTTGGGTTATGTCTACTATTTATACCTTATCCTATATCTTACCTTATCCATATATATATATATATATATATATATATATATATATATGGTCTTATTGTCATGGCTGGTTCTGTTGTCAACTTGACACAGGCTAGACTCTCAGAAGAGGAAAATACAACTGAGAAAATGCCTTCATGAGGTTGTCCATAAGGTTTATTTTACCCTGTAACACATTTTCTTGATTAATGATTGATATGGGGATATCCACGTTCATTGCAGGCAGTGCCAACCCTGGGCATGTCATCCTAGGATGTACAAGAAGGCAAATTGAACAAGTACTACCAATAATCAATGCTCTTTATGCCCACTTCCTTCTCTGAGTACACTCAGTGCTATAGTATACCATGAGAATTATTCTATTATGTCATTATTCTAAAATAAACCCTTTCCTCCACAAGTTGTTTTTGGTCATGGTGTTTTATCATAGCAATAAAATCCTAAATAATAAAAACAAAGTAAAATAAAAAAGACCTATATTCCAAACATGTGAGATGCTGTATAAATATCTATATTAATTGAACAAGTATCAATGTCTTTTAGGGATGCACATAGTCAAATTTCAAAGTGATGATGTAACATCATCATGTTACAACATCAATGTGTAACAATCATGTCGATTTAATAGTAAAATACATTATTGCTGTATACTGTCTCTTTAAAAAAAAATGTTAGAGGATTGTAGACATTCGCTATGATATCCAATATCCCAATATCACTTGAGAACTTAGGCACTCATCATAAGAATTTTTATGCATTATCTCTCATTAAGTCTTTTCAATACCCTATGAAACCGTTCCCAACTTTATCTTCATTATACATCTGAGGAAATAGAGGTTTAAGGTTTTACAGTCTTATAGATAGAATCTAGTGTAGAATAGAATCTTAGCTACTTCTTAGTTTGAATTCGGCACTATCTTACATGTGAATTTACTTAGGAATATGAATCTAGTGAATGATAGAACATGGTGTGAAAACATATTTCCCAACACTTGAGCTTATGTCTTCAATACAGAGTGCTGTCTTCATTCCTTTAATAATACCATATTTTAACAGCATCAACAAATAATAGACCACATATATTTTGAGTCACGAGGGCATGTCACAACCCTCTCTTGTTCACCTTAACAATTACTCTCATTAAAATATTTAACTTTTATTTTTTAATGTTGGAAATTGTAAATATGCTCATTTGTGTGAGAGTTTATTGAAACAAGAAGAAAATGTCTGAATTTCAGGGGACTGACAGCCCTAAACCTGGTTCTGGGATCCTAAGTATGCTCCGTTAAAGGAGCAGTACAAGCTATAAATAGCTGAGCAATCTAACCAACCTACTCTAAGGATTTCTGAAAACAAAATTGTCACAGATTTTTATTTATTTTTGTGTAAATTGAATAACTAGTTCTTGGACAAGACAGTTTTTTCATATCCTTAAATTTTCAGTTATTTGGTTTGCCTTAATTTTTCAATGTATTACTAATGCTTAAAGGAGAAATATATGAAGATAAAAAAGCTATTAAAATAAAGACACATCATACTACATGTGTCTGCAAAAAATAATATTTAAAACATTAGGTGTGGGAGAATATGTTCAAAATATTTTGGATGAAATTCAAGAAATTTATTGACATGACAGGAGAGAAATTCTGCCAGGCAAGAATGAAGATCTGAGTTTGGATTCTCATACTGAATGAAAAACTGGGCCCTCAGGTACGCTTTGTAATTCCAGGGCTAAGACAAGGGAGCAAGGCAGATATCCAGAGCTCTCTGTGCAGCCAGTCTAATGAGTGAAGAGCAGGTTCAGTGAGAAAATTTTTCATTCAAAAGATGGTAAAAGTCTGTAAAGGAAGACACCAAATACCTACCTCTAGTAGTATCCATATGTGAGTACATGTACACACACACACACACACACACACACACACACACACACTCCTGTAACAAACATGGAAAATGTAGTGGGTGCTAAGAAAGAAGCCCTCTGGATGACAACTGAAACGTAAATTGCATCAGTGTGCAATATTTGCTGTTTGATTTACTCTGAAATGCGGCTTGCCAATGATATCTGTCTTTTAATCCTAGAGTCTCAAGTCCCTGACCAGCCGAGTTCCCTTCATGTGAGGCCTCAGACAAACTGCATCATCATGAGTTGGACCCCTCCTCTCAACCCAAACATCGTGGTGAGAGGCTACATTATCGGCTACGGTGTTGGCAGCCCTTATGCTGAGACAGTGCGTGTGGACAGTAAGCAGAGATACTATTCCATCGAGAGACTAGGTGAGTAGCTCTTGTTTATTCTACTAACAGAGGAAAGTGGGTTATTTCCCATAATTTTATTTTTTTTAAACTTGGCTTCATAGATTATGGTTTCAACATGTACTGTGTTTTAGTTAAGTTACTGTTCACACACACAGACACAGACACACACACGCACACACGCACACACACACACACAAGCTGATACACACGCTTACACATTCTTTCACTCCTCCCATTATTCAATGTGGGCATTCTGCTCTAGAGAGCTCTCTAATGAAAGGAATCATTCTATGAGTCTTTTATTATTTTCATAGGGCATACAAACTGTATTGAATTACTTTTCTCCTTCTGACCATCCTTGAAAATCTCTAATCTTCATAGTCTTGTAAAAGCAAGATAATTCATTTTAAAACTCTATGGTACCTTCAAGGGAGACTTCTGTTAAGTTTTTTTAAATCTTAGTTGTCCAATCACAGTGACTTGTTTGCCTTCAACATCTGTAGAAAAAGCTTTGTGGCTATGTTGTTATGATTGTTGCATGTGATGAAAAGAAGAATTTTCAATCAAGGGAGTAAATCTCTTCTGTATGTGTTTCTTTCCTTCATAATCCAAATCTCTTGTCAGAGCTGGCTTCATTTTTTGCACGAGTCTAATGCTTCTGCTGTGTTCTTGTATAAGGTCAGCTGTGTGTTTAAACCTTCAGTTCGTTTTATGCTGATTTTCTATGGTGTGTTAAGAGTTTGTATCATTAACAGAGGGAAATGATAAATAATATGTCAGGATGCCAATAAGTTAAGTAATTGTCACAAAGTTAAAGATAAGTTCATTCTACCTGTTGATTTAAATCCACGTAACTGGCAATGAAATGCTTTGACCCCTTTGGAAATGAAACTTGATTAGGGGTGGGAAGCTCTAGTCATTTGCAGTGTCCCTCACAAACAGAACATTTGTGACAAGAAGCCTGATTTGAATCTGAATAGCTAAACTGCGGTAGTAAGAATAGATTCTATCAATGCAGAAATAAAATTGCACCAATCCATTTTCTCTGTAATTGCTCTAAACACTAATGAGAGAATCACCTACGGAAACTGGCCACAATTAGAGTTAGCTTGGCATTTAAAATAATATTCCCCCAGTCAGTTTCAGGGTATGAATATAAGGGCAATCACAAAGCTCATATTTTATGGCCGTCAAACCTGTGTCAGGGGATTCTCGGTTATCCATTATTCAGAAAGCACTGTCTCTGACAGTGCATCTTTATTCCACTAACCAGAAAAGGCAGGTTAGCATGCACAAGCCACTGGCAGTAAGAATAAATGCATTGCAAAACAAGCAAAGCTGGAAAGAAAAACTACATGATTGCACTATGTCCTTTCGTAATGATTTTCTTCATTACAAAAAATTTTTTTTGAGAAAAATAGTGGAAGTTTACCATATTGTGAAATTAACATTGGTGCCTTCCCTAAATGTTAATCAAGATAAAGAACATCTTCTTAAGGTGTGTTCTAAAGAACAAAGAGAAAGGCTAAGGTGTACCTCCATAAAAAAGCCATGAATAGAAGATAAGAGCAAATGAGAGTTCAACTTTATTCATGAATTTGTATTTTACAGCTTATTTGGTTAGAGAATTCATATGTATAGACACACATTCACAAAAGCATACAGCCACACACATAAACACATATTCACACACACAAAAACTCAGATGCACACATATACTTACAAACAGATACACACACATATGTGTACACACATGGTACCACATGGTATACTTTTAAGAAAATCATAAAATACAAATGTTGATATATCAAATGAAAGCATATTTTGTTGGTTTTCATTAGGGTGCTTATGGCTATATAAATAGGGGTATCAACTTGTAATGTTTGCAAAGATCAAAGACTCATGTCTTTCCACAGACTCTGCAATGAAATCATTAATTGCTTCTTTTATGATGTTAAGCATTAAAATAAGTGCTAAGTCCCTGTAAAAACATACCTCAGCCAACCACATAGGGTTGATCACAGTTTCATGGAGTTGAGCACATTTCTGTGTATAAGAACATTAAAGAAGCAGCTTGATCACAGAAGTAGGAAACAAACATCTTTGCACCACTTTCTCTCCCTGTCTTTTTCATTCTATATGGTTCCCCATTGATGAAACATTTCTACCTACAGTTAGCCTTGTCTTCTCTCCTTTATCTTTTCTAGAAATACCCTCATAGACACAGTCAGGTATGATTTAGTAATATCCTAAGTATCTCTCAATTTAATCAGATAGACACTCAAGATTAATCAACATTAGTCATTAACATTTATCATAGAACCATTTATGGAAATACATTTGTACAAATATTTATAGCATTGAAAACATAAAATTGTCTAATATCTATTTTTCTTGTGATAAGTTGCCATTTCATATTTTCTATTATTGAAAATAGATTTTGTTCATATAGTATGTTATGTTTACAATTTCCTTACCATATTCTATTTTTAAGAAAAGAAAATTTTAAGTACTGCATAATAGTTACATAATCAAACATTGAGAAAATTCTTTAATCATTATGCATAATGTTAGTCATAACTTCAAGCATTGAATTTTTGTTTTAGACTACATGACAACTGCTTGCTTTATGATTGACAGATGAACCTTCTGTTCTCTCAGAGGAGAGCCAGAAATTATGAACAGCATTTTGCGTATGCTTAATAATCATTTAGTATTTATATAAAGGTATGCATAACCTACCTTGGGGCTAAAAATATAATATCATTTGAAAAATATTTACTATTACCTGATCAAAATGATTAACATGTCTTAAATAAGTGAACACTCTCATTAACAATTTGCCACCAGATATTTATGTCACCCAGTGACATTTTACTTTGTTGAATAAGGAACTGTAGTGCCAGGTGTAACACGCATTCATAATGAGATCTGCATGATTGAATTTAATTACATTAGACCTCCATATTTTGTAATGAAATATATATATGTGTGTGTGTGTGTGTGTGTGTGTGTGTGTGTGTACTTATTGGTATATAATAAACTATACACCTAAAGTATTTATTTCTGAATTTAAAAATTTAACTGATACATAACATAGTCTTTTTTCAAATCTCTTCCCTTATTTTTTGAATATTGGAAAGATATTAAATGCTTTTGTTGGACTTATTCCTCCAAAATATGTTTTGGAAAATGTTTTAAGTGGGATTGTATTTTAAATTTGTTTTGGATATTTAGTGTAAAAGCATAAATTTCATAACATTAACTGTATATCCTGTACCCGTTTGATTCACCCATTCTATCAACTGTAGATGCTATGGAATTTCCTACTTAAGTAACTGAAAGACATGAAAAAGCACTTAGCCGTATAGTTCCTGAAGGCTCCTGCTTTATTGAAATAGGTAGTAAGGTCAGTGAAGTGTGAATCAAAGTACCAGATGCAAGCATTTTTGGCTAATTTCTGATCTTGGGGAAATTTTCAGTATTTGCCATGAAATTGGACCTGGATTCTTAAACATGTCGTTTATCTCACCTTTATGAAAGGCTACACATTTCTTAGCTTTCAGGCAATTTTAGTAACACATTTTCAGAATGCTTGTAAAGTGGGTTTTCCCTCTTAGAATGGCATAATTTTATTTTTAGTATGACAAATTAAATTCATTTTTGAAGGGGAACTAAACCTGAATTTCTTATATAAATTTATGTACATTATCATCCCCTTATCGTATGATTACTTTTGATTCAATAGCTTTTATTTAATTTTTTGGTTTAATATTTGGTGGCTATACTTGCCAACAATCCTCTTGCATTCTCTTTTTCTGTTTTCAATTTGTTAGTGTTTCCTGGCCTCAGAATGAGTTATTTCAAACATTTTCTCATTAGTATTGTATTTCTTATTGCTCCTTGGGTTATTTAGAGTTTCATAATAAGTGTCTCTTCTATAAAGAACAGTATGCGTATCCCACAATGCACCCTAGTTGAAATAATAACCATGGAACCATATCAATTTTAATTAAAATATGTATGTGTGTGGTTAAGGCATAATTTTGTGTATTACTTGTAGATTTGTAGTAGACTAATTTTTTTTAAATAGGTGAGTTTTAGTCATTTTACTCAGATATAGAAAATACATATTATTAAGTTCATTGATTACTGAAATTAAATGCCCTTAATAAAATACAATACAGTAACTTTTATTTCATGTGAAAGACTAAAATATAAAGAAACTATTTTAAATATAATCACATACTGATTATAATATCCTGGGTAAGAGAATTCAACTTGTTCTCCAAGAGCATCGTTTGCTTGCCCATGGAGGAGTGACAAGGGTTAAGAAATGTCAGGCCATCAGATCATTCCTCTGAATACAGCAAGAAGAAAGGCTATTATTGTCTCTTTATTCAGGTTAGTCTTCTAAATGTGTAGGCATTTTCAGGCAGTCTTTAAGGACAGCTTGCACTGTGATTCATTAATAATGCATTCAGTCTATTTGTAACTCCTTTCTCACTCTCGACTCTCCGAGGTCCAAGGCAGGTGCATTGTCTTATACCTGGTAAATTTTTTAAAGCTATTTGGAAAAATATATTACAAAAGATGAATACTTTTATTGTACAAGAGGAGAAAAGATCATCACATTGGAACAAAATCTCTCCTCTCTCTCCCTCTCTCTCCATATATATATATATATATATATACACACACACACACACACACACACACACACACAAAGACAAAAAATAGTTAATTCTCTCCTCCACTTAGGACCCTATAAAGACTCAGTGATTCATTCTTCCTCCAAGTTTAGGATCAAGCATTCAAACAATAAAAATATTTCTCATATCTTGTGCAGTTTTCTAGAAAATGTCTTATTTGGGTTAAAACAATTCGGATCCCATTCTCAATCCTCCCTACAGTTCAGTGTTTACAGACAGCTAGCTGTTCAGTGTACTTTTGGCCAAGGTCTGTGAAGCTATCAACAATTTATTTCTTCATCTTTCCCAGTAGCAGGTATCACCCTT